GATCATGAAATGAATAAATCTGAGAGAGGTCTACCCAAGGTACATATACACCAAGTATCAAAACATTCAGGCTCGTAGTTTTCAAGAAGAAGTCAAACAAGTAAAACATTGACACAGACGACGGACAATCACTCATATGATAAGCTCCGCTCGACAAAGTCGACAGCGTAACTAAAAAAGCTTGGAAAGAATTTCTATGTGCTGAGAACATTGAAAGTACTTGAATCAGAAATAGGATACTGGTACATTGAAAATGGAAAAATTTCAAATTAGTCTTTTAAACAAGAAGTCTGGTGACAATTATACCGTACTTGTCCAACTCAGCACCCATGCATGCCTAAGTCGATCCAATCCTCACTTTCAGGATATTTCTATTTTTGGGTTTACGTTTGACTAAGCGCCCATCCCTGCGTATCAGAATGTCTTTGAAAATTCCTGGAGAATTGTGTCGGTACAACATTGCATTCTTGACCTACCGGTACATGTATAAGGTCAAAGGACGTTGTTGCAGGTCAAATCATGAAAGAAAAACATCATGGCGGACATTGCTTTGCATCGAGAGTTTGCATACAATCATACAATGAAGATAATGACGAATCTCTTGACTTTGATCGTTTTCCCACAGACCCTAATTATTTTACATCTTAAATTCTGATGGTAAATGTACGTGAATAATATTGTAATAAAGTGTGCCTATTTTTTGTGATATGTTGTGGAAATCAATGACAATGCAACTAATTTCGCAATTTTTATTTCACCAAAAAAGTTGTACTATTTGCTCTAATCTGCCACATGCTGAACAAAAATTGGCTTTTAGCCAATTTTTCGAGATGGGTGTTCGACTAAGCGCTCACCCCAATAAACAAAATTTCGTGAGCTGATTACCCTGGGTCTAAAGTCAATTTATAATGCCATGTGAGCAAAGGAAGTAATTGCCTAATTTATGCAAATGTAGGTAATTTACATGCACTACCAGTACTTAAAGCAAAAGGGGTCATCACCTGCACACGCGCGATAATTGAGTCCCAAGCGACAATAACAATGTATGGTAAAAACGCAAAGGTTCATGGGTTGATGCTTGTTTGTATGCTATGGTCGCCTGCCGCATGCACAGGTGATGACTCCTCTGCTATAACAAAGCTTCCATTCGGCCATAGGGAATTATTTCATGAAAAATACACATGCATATTTATGATGTGATTGATCCAGACATGTCCAAGATAATGGTAGGAGCAGACGAACATATGATTGAATACAATGAGGTGGATCCATAAGTCCCTATTTATGGACTTTGTACAAACAGGTACTATTAACCTGGATTTAACATCTAAACTGTCAAATTTACCCACAAATTGTCGGTGCAGAATTTCTACAATTTTTGTCTAAATTCCATCATAATTTTTAACAAAAATAAAAATCTGATTTCTTTTCAACATGTTTTGTATTTTTTACCAGTTTTTGGCAAGGAATATTTTCTGAACGATAAAATTAGATATCACCTGGACATTACTCTTACACAAATTTGATATGTTATATACTGCACAGTATGCTTGTGTCGCAAGGTGTTATTATGTACAATAAAACCCTTACATAATCTCTCACATATTGGTATAATTCACAGCTGTTTACATGAATTGCTGTAATCCATTTAATGCTTTCAAGAGGTCCACTATACATGTATGACTTTGGGACAGTGTATGTCGGGCTGGTGAAAATCTCAAGTTACTAGCCCTGTGGTTGAGTAGATTTTCAGAGAAAATAAAAAATAAATAAAAATTTTTTTTTACAAAAATCACAGAATGGCTATGGATATATGACTGTTGTCAAAATTATGTTTCTAGATGTCTGATGCTGTCGCGAACATTGATATTGTTATTAATTTCGAAATTATTATTGTTATATTCGATGTTACGGTGATACTGCCGATATCCAAGTGAAATGCACAAATTAATAATAATTAATAATTAATTTCCAAATTAATGAGGAAAGTACCATACTATTATCGGTACTGTGGTTGTTACTGGTAATATGCTGCAGGCAATGTTGCTTTCAGGAAGCCAGTAGATTGATTTGCAGCATTTCTTAGAATGCAGCTGTCAGCCAATTAACTGACGATTTTCTTGGTTAGGTGTACAAAACATATTCACAGTAAGTCTTCACAATTTATCGCAAACTTTTTCAATTCATTTAAAAATAATTATTTTATTACCTTGATTCGGGTAATTCTTGTTTCTGTGTTTCTAAATAATCAGACAGTCTTTTCATCGGGTCTAAGATATCCCAAAATCTGTTAATGTCTTTCCCAATCAATTGTGCAAGGATGAAATCTCGAACAAAAATACCTGTTCTGTCGGCTCCCTAAAAAACAAAAATCATGAATTGGTCTATTATAGCCTACAATAAGCTTTCATCCATTGGTGGTTTCCTACTATTGTTCTACATGTACAATAGAATATATTAGTATTTTATGATATTATTGCTTACCTTGTCTTGTAATAATGATCCAATAACAGCAAAGAAGGTTTTCTGGATGATTTCTTCTGGGTGTGGAAACTCCTAGAAAATTCGATAACAGTATTATTCAGCTAAAAATGGATTTTTATTTTTTCATACGCACTCAGAATCTTTTTTTCCAGTTTATGTTTTATGGAAATATCCAAAAATCACACCCTAACCATCTGAATTAACAGAGGCGATGCGTAGATGTGTTGATATCGGTGTCAGCATGTCCATTCTCACTGTGTAATCACTGAATGAGAAGCTCTCCTCGAGACAAAGACGGATCCTAAAAATTTGAAAGTTGTGTATGACAATGAGATATGAGGCACTATTTTATTGTCTAAACAAAACTATAGAAAATTGACAATAAATTACTAATTCTCAATAAGGTCTTTGTGTTTTTAGCTCCGCTGTCGACTTTGTCGAGCGGAGCTTATCATATGAGTGATTGTCCGTCGTCGTCCGTGTCAATGTTTCACTTTTTCGACTTCTTCTTGAAAACTACAAGCCTGAATGCTTTGATACTTGGTGTGTATGTACGTGGGGTAGACCTCTCTTAGATTTGTTCATTTCATGATG